AATGGGGACAAAGTTGCGTAATCAGGGACCAACATTATGCCTCTAAAAAATCAAGGCTAACATGATTAGTTTTCGAAATATTTTAAAAAAACACGAAATTTTGGAAATCCGTTTTGTTTCATTACAGCCTTGTTTGAGGTGATATTGAAAAAAGAAGAACACTTTCTCATGACCACTTTTTGCCCTCTATCGATTGGCATAATCAATTTTTGTACGCAACGTTTCGTCTCTTGAGGCCCATCATCAACTTCATTTTTTTAAATTCGACCCTAGAAATTTTAATAAATTTTTTGCAAGCCTTCATGACCCCCAATACTGTACTGCCTCAGCCCGAACCAGATTCAGACGTTTTGTCTCGAAAAATTCATCTTCAGTGTATTCATTCCAAATTTATCTTAATTTTTTATTTATATTTCTTTGTCTATTGAATTATCGTACACTGTAAGTGTCGTTAGACCCCTGTGAAATCCAAATATTACCACCACGCGTTACAATTAAACATTTATTATTATTAACTATTACCATCACTTGGTCATACATAACTCAATAAGTTGTTGCGTCAAAATTAAAACATTATTACAATTTTAATTTTATTATGACGAATTAATTCTTAAAAATGCATATGAACAACCAAATCGCCAACTGAATATTCTTTTTTAAAAAATTTCAGTAAATGTTCAAAAACATTTTCGTTTTGGCAAAGGTTGAAAATGAAGATCAGTGTAATATTATCGGAATTTATTATATCTGTAACTGCAACTGTGAAAGAGCATGTCAGATGTATTTGTATGAATATCCTGAAAAAAATAGATCGGAATTTGTTTGAATTTTGAGCACTCGAGAAGCCTAGAAATAACTATGGACACGGGAATAAAACTGAAATAATAATATTATTTTAATGCGTGGTGGTACTAGTTTAAATAACTAGATGGATTCCACAGGGTCTAACGAGACTTACAGTGTACGATAATTCCATAAACAAAGAAATTTAAATAAAAAATTTAGATAAATTTGGAACGAATACACTGAAGATGAATTTTTTGTGACAAAACGTCTGAATCTGGTTCCGGCTGAGGCAGTACAGTATTGGGTGTCATTAAGGCTTGCAAAAAATGTTATAAAATTTCCAGAATCGTATTTAAAAAAATGAAGTTGATAATGGTCCTGGAGAGACGAAACGTTACATATAAAAATTGATTATGCCATTCGATAGAGGACAAAAAGTGGCCATGAGAAAGTTTTCTTCTTTTTTTAATATCACCTCAAACAAGGCAGAAATGAAACAAAAACGGATTTCCAAAATTTCGTTTATTTTCAAATATTTCGAAAACTAATCATGTTAGTCTTGATTGTTTAAAGGCATAATGTTGATCCCCTGATTACGCAACTTTGCCCCCATTTAAGCTACTTCGTACCTCTTACCCTGTCGTGAAAAGCGAATTTGTAACAGCCTGTATGTAGGTAACTGATCAACCTGATGTTCTCCATCTCGTATAATTATTATTAGGTACCAATAGAGCCCTGCAACATAAAATGGCAACCATCAGCGTTGTGCCATCTTTTGCTTAAAAGATAATATCAAAATCCGGCATAAATTTTAAATTATTGTCCATTAAAAGTTACAGTTGTTCTCAGGATTATTTGGAGCCAAAAAGCCTAAAGCCACTGGTTTTCGCAAAAATCACTCATCAGGTATAAAACATTTAATACGCATTTTCCTTTCCCAAAACATATGAGCAATACTTGAAGATATGAACAAAGTAAGCCACGGAATTTTATTATTATTATTATTATTATTTTCTTTGAACAAATTATTATTGAAATAAGAAGTATCTGTGGACAAAAACAAGTGTTTGTAAAACTGCTTGGTTTGCAGGTTTCCGTGGCGCAGTTGTCGCAATGATTGAATATTTTCGGAAAACATTTGTTAGGTAAGCTAAGTATCTGATGCCATTTCTTCCATTTTCTTTATGTATTACTTTTACTTTAAAATTGTGTTACTGTTAATATCATTTTTAGAAAAAATATTATTAATAAAAGAAGCGATCATGACACGGACATGGAACAATAACGACAAAGAAGAAAGCTCCCTTAACCTCTCATAAGAGCATGTTGTTTCTACGTACATGTTCGTTCTGGTTTGATATTGGACTAATGGACTAGTTCTAAAAGCCCAGTAAGTCTATGTGTTACAAAAGTAGATTTTTATTCTGCGCCTCTTTACTCGGTTAGTTATTGGATTATTATTACCAAAGGAAATTACGCTCACGTCTTGTAATACTCTGTATAAGGATATCCATTAAATGTCTGCTACCGTTGTTTGTTGCCGTTTTTTCAGTCATGAGGTCTAGGTATTCACCAGATGTGTCGAATTACTGTAAGTCAATTCACAAGTGTGTTAAGCGCAAACGTCGTTATCTCATTTTAAAAAATTATGTTTATGAATTCCCTATCGCTAAATACAGTCGTTTACTGTACTTATTCCAACCTGAAAACAGATATTATTTATTCTAACTTAATTAACAGATATGTGTTACACTTTTCTTGCTTTAATTTGAAGTTATGCTACAATCAACCACAAAATATGACCAGTACAAATGGACGAATTAACTTACAGGAATAACGTTTTTTCCTACTCATAATTTTGTATGAATTCCTCAAGAACTATTGAAGACATATAAACTTCAACTATGAATCTGGAAAAATGAAATATATTCACTTCATCTTTGCGCAAAACTAAAGAGAACTAAAGAAATTCAACTGTTAAAAAAAGTTATTCGACATTGTATTTTATACTTCTTTAGTTTCCTTCGTAGAATCATTCCGTTCATAAATAATTGTCTAAAAATTATAACATCATGAAAAAATTGAATTTATATCTCTGGCTATTATTCATAATAAACGTTGTGGACAAAAAATTATAATATACTGATGATTTCAGCTTATACTATTTAAATTATCCTAAAAATTCGTATCAAAATAATTCCGCAACTTGAATTACACAAAAATAATTTGTTTTAGGTACATTTCATGTCTTTTTTATTAACCTTTTAACTAAGTATCTGGTAGAGGAACATACTTTTATTTTACGTTGGAAAGTTCGTTATTATTTGTTACCAAACAAACAGTCGTTGTTTTCTATGGAGTAGACATATTTTTTATTATTTTAAAACTTTACACCAATTAACTAATATACTTATAACAAATTGGGTGTAACAAACTTTGTAACAAATTGTTTGCTCTCAGGATTTATTATAAAGTTTATAAAGTGTGTAAAGGTAGATCAGTGATGAACGTAATAATTCTGCTCCAAGGACATATACCTACATAGCTCCTAGTTTATTCAACACACGAACTTCTACCCTCTTTAGCACATTCAACAACTTGAAAATGGTTTTATATAAATAATCAGTAAATAACAAATTAACTTATATCTTATACAAGGGCAAAGGTAATCCTTTTTGTTTCAGAATAAAATTTATCGATCTGATAAAAGCTAATTTTAATTGGTTGGTAAATTTTCACGATGTGATTTCGTCCCGTCTTACTTTAGTCACTAATCTCTCCTAATTCAATTTGTGTTATTTATATAAAACTATCAAGGTCTTCAAAGTATGTTAAAATCAATTAACTGCAGATGTGTTGAAAATTCAGACTTATGTTTTTAAGGTTAGCAGTATAGATTTTTGCCTCAAAATGGCAATTGATTACGGTACTTTATATCTGCTTTAATCTGATATTTCATATGAATCTGTATAACTTCGTGAGAATAAAGTTTTGTATGAATTCACATCCTGTGTATCTGCAGCCCAATAGAAAAAGTTTCAAAGAACTCTCTTAGTCCTGAGTTATATTCATCTCAATATTATATTGAATATTGTGAAGTTTATATAAGAACAAATTAACACTGTGTGTTACCAGGGAACCAGCATCATAAAAAATCGAAGGGTATTCTGATAAAAATTGTGTAAATTCATATAGTCTTTTTACATATGTATTTGTAATTTTTACACGACAACTGTAAATTAATTGAACATGCACGATATATTGTGTAGAAATTAGAATTACAAGTTTGAGCGTATATTTTCTTTTTGTGATGTATTCTCACTTTTGACGTTGTACTTTTACATTTTAAAATGTATTACTCCTAATCCTTTAAGTGTTTTCATTACATTTGATGAAAATATATGAGTAAAAGAGTGAATTTATATGACCTGATTTGGCTCAACCTGGTGTGGTGTTACCGCCCGTGGGTAGAGAACTAGTTGTTCAGTGGGCATGTTTAGATCCATTTGTTGCGTAATAATATAAGACAGCTACCTAAATATAATGTTATACCTAAGTAAATACTGGGGTAATTAAATAATATGACTTTGTGTAAATGTATATCTTCATTTAATGTTATTGAAGAGTATAAGAAACATCAATAATACCATATTGAATTGTGCCTAACGTTTACATTCACAATCAGACAACATCCGGATTGTAGTCATCCAGGAAAAGTCTTCATCTAAATGAAAAGCGCAGTAAAACTTTTCCTGAAAATACGTGTAATTTTTTTTTGCTTATACTTAATTATTTTAAGTCAATTTTATGGAAGAAAATGTATATTATTTGTCTTAGATAGTTGCAGAAGTCTAAGATTATATCAAGCTTTATACAGTTTTTGAGTATGAAATAAGAATGAAAAGATATTACTTCTAAAAAAAAAATTATGAATTTTTGCTTGCTTAGATGCAAATTTACAGCATCGGCCTGCGAAAAAAAAAGTTGCATATAAAACTGCGAAATTCTGAAAAGTATTGAAATTTCAATATTTACATTATTTTAGTAACATATTTAGAAAAATCCTGATTACGAAATGTTTGTTTTGAAATGTAAACCAAGATATATTTTGAATATTTGTGGGCCGACCCTAGACGGTTACTCCTTCCAGATAAAACCAGGACGCCGAGATAGCAGTCCACAGTGCAAGTTCAATAGTGTATAAGAAATTCACCATGCGAGTTCTTGCGATTATAGTGCTCTTTACCCTTCGGCTTACCACGGTTTTCACGGAAGAGGCTTCAGAGTACTTCGACGAATATTGGATTTACAGAGAAGCTTTCAGGTTTTTCCAGGAATGCGGCGACAAGAATTTTGTTATTTGTTTTAAGGTAACTGTATTTTCTATATTTTTTTACGTTAGCCCTCAAATTTATAAGAAATAAATGAAGACTATTTCAAACTTTTTTGATGAACACATTGTTCTTGTATTTTTATTAAAATCTAAAGTAATTTCAGTTTACAAGACGATTGAACTGATTCGCTATGATTTTTATTTGCATTTAAATCTGAACACACTTCAGTTCAGAAACAATAAAATTTCTAGTAGGTAGGTACTTTTTGTACATCCTGTAAAATCAGTGAAATTGCATAAAGTATTTCAATAATTGTAACATTAAAATAATATATATAGTACGTGTTCTGTTTGCAGAAATTCCCTTTAACCAATAAAAAATTTTATCAATATATCCACCTAAAAAAATATACAAGATATTAAAACAAATAAGATACTGAACAATAATATATTATAAAATTTCTTAAATTATTTAATAATCATTCGGAATTTTAGATCTGCTCTCAAATATGAACAGTTTATTCTATCAATAATCATGTCATTTTAAAAAATATATATGATTAAATAAATATTAGTTTTAGATATTTTCTTAACTTATAACAGCTACACTTAATTAAATCACCGTTTGGATTCTTTTGATACTATTTTCATTCATGAATTTTTTTAATATTTTTCAAAATTAAGTTTTTTACCATTCACATTTGAAAAATCTTCCATCTAAACAAATACTATTTGTTATAGTGACATCTGATTAGTCTATTTAAAAATGTATATAGCTCTTGCATTTTTTTACCCTATATTAAAGGTAATAATAGTAATTAAACGACAAAAAACACATACCTGATATATTGAAACTGTTAAATAGTACAATCAAGAATCATCCTGTATTCTTGCTGTCTTACTATTACCCTCGACAAAGACTAATCACATAAAAATAGCTGCTACAAAGAGATCTTTTTGTTTCCACATTTTACCTGGGATTTTTTGATCAGGGAGCTTCCCTTCTCGTATGCAATTTATATTAATAGAAGAAAACATATATTTCAAACTTTTAGAAAAAAAACTGCTCATCTTATTAGAATTACATGGGATGAATGTCCGCATGCGTCCAAAAAAAACTTTGGTATTTTTATTAAATTTTTGTTTTTGCGAATCTAATTTTCACTAATTTGGTGATAGTAATTTGTAGTGATAGTGTAAGATAGCACATGACTCTTTTTCACTTGTTTTTCAAAAATTCTTGATGATTACAAAATTCCAAAGCAGGTTTAACTTTAAACCCGCTTTTTTACAAAACGGCTGCTTTCAGCGACAAATGCTAAGAGTACTTTTTGTACGTAAAATTGAATGGAGAATAGGTATGTTTAGTCAAAAATGACATACAGTGCGACACAAAAAATCATGGTTATTTAAATCCAGGTACAACAATGTATGTAGAGCCCTCTAACATTAAACAAAAAACTAAGTAAATTGTAATCGTGTGAATTGTAATGCGAATAATATAATTAATTTAATTTTTTGTTAATAAACGGTTAGTTTTAAACCAAAAAAATAAGAGAGATAAAAGTTTTAAAATAAGCCAGATTTTCTGATACGTATTTTTGAATTTTCAGTTTTTGTCAAGCTAAAAAGTTGTAGCAAAAATTCAAATTCAAAGTGGCAGAAATTTTCAAAATATTAATTGTTAAGTTGCACATGCGTTAGTAGAAAATTTTTATAAAATTTAACTATTATACCTTATTTGGTTTTCAAATTACAGCCACTATTTAATTTTTTTTGGAAAACTGAGAGGCCGTGTCTCCCAAGGCGTGGACATTTTACTAAGGTCATTTTTATGCAAAACGTATTCTTTTTAGCTGTAGGTACCATTTGTGCTACTTCTTTTGGGAATGCCCTGTACATGGTACTGAAATTTTAAAACAAATATCACATTTACTCAAATATCTTTAAGGTGACCATATCCCTGGCCGAGAAATACTCAAATTTCTGGCGTTTTTAGGTACTAAAATCTTGAAAAGTAAAACGTGTAGGACAAAAGTAAGCACAAAAATAAAATCCTTGATGTTCTGTTTATTCATTGTTACCATTTAAATTTACTCAAATAAAATAATGACAAAAAAAGCGTTTATAAAACATGCGTTTGCTGTTATCCTAACCCCACATTTTAAGAATTATTTTCTCGTACTTATAAATAAAAGTAAACAATTTTATATGTAGGATTAAGCAAGTAAATGTTATAAGAATATTTACATGTGGATTTATATATAAAAAAGTTAGTATTTTCGTAAATTTCAGTACATACCTAAAACCTTGATGGTTTGATCGTTTTTTGCACTTGTTTATTCGTTTTACTGCGGCGTCTTTGAAAATACTCAGGTGGCATGACATAACATTCCCATTATTTGATAAGCTGTAGATTATTCAGTTATTAAATGTTCAAAATTATTTGTCTTTGCGGAAAACACTATTTAAAGAATATGGCGCCCTTAATATCTGACGCAGGCCAATAAAACTTAGACTAACAATTTATCAATAAAAAGGTAAAAATTTACTGAAGTAACTGATACAAGAAACGAGATTGATTCTAAACAGAGCAGGTCTAGTTTAGAAAATTTTCCCGGAAATATTAGCATTTTATCCTCTTTAAATGTAATGTATAACACCTCATTTATTTCCTGTTTGCTGATCAAATTTAAAAAATAACTAGTCCACTTCTAGCTGTTATAATAATGAGCTAATAACGACTTATGCATATTCAGTACCTACTTATTTTCCAGCAAAATCGGTGTCATTAAAAAAATCAAGTAGAAGTTATTATTTTATACAGCTCAGTAACTTAACTGTTTTCCAGGTAATATGTTATTTGCAATGAAAATAGTAGTATTCCTAGTTAAATATCACTCAATATGCCGTAAAATATAAATGGGAGTGTCACATGTGCCGTATGTCAGGTTGGAATTACGGTGCTGAAGTCTGAAACTTGAACGGGAGGCAGCTTTTAAGCAACTGGCTTCTGTGCAGTAAACAATATTATTAAATATCAGTAGCGTATCGTAGGTTTCTATACACATTTCAATTGAATTGCGAAATAAAGGAAGAAGATAGATTTTTTCAAAAATATTCATATTCTATTATTAGCTCTCCATGTTTTGACTCATTTTTAAAGGAATTAAGCTAATTCAAACAAATAAAAAAAAATCTTATCAAACAAAGTCAAATAATGTTCTTCGACACCAGAAATCTCAGTATGCAAAATATACCTATTCAACCTCACAGACAAGATTGCTAACTGCTGATACTGCGCGAAACAACTACTCTATGCAACCTGGTGTCGAACAACATATTTTGACTTCATTTAATAAGGTTTAAAAAAAATTGTAATACCTTAGAAAACAGTAAAGACATGCAGAACGTACCTTTGAATGGGGGTCATATTTGTATGGAGACCACCTTTGTATTTTCTTTAGATCATAAGTTTGTTTTCTCAAATTCCGTCGTGAAAACTAAATATTTTCTAACATTTTTTTGTAATTTTTCATACCCGCATAAAAGCAAATTCGATCACCGCAATTATCCACACGGAGAATTAGTCTGTTAGCCCCGTTTTATAAATTTCTGTAAAGTATACATTCAACTTCATGGTGAAATATAAAGATAGAGATAGTGGGAAACATTTTTTTTTCGTAAAGATAAGTGGACAGACATAATTATAATGATATCGCTATATCTTGAAAAAATCTCATTTAATTTGTATAAATAAAACATACTGTGCAACACGTAGATAGAAACACAAAGATACAAGATATTTAAAATTATTTGGCTGAACATAACAAGAAATTAAAATTTAATTATTTTATAAATTCCCGAAAACGAAATTTTGCTTTCTAGTCTAAAAGAACAAAAATAATTAAATGCTTCCAACATAATGTGTCATTATGTTGCAGAAATGTAGATTACCCATAGTCTTATTCAGATAACTGCTATGAGTCCTTGATATATCAATATTATGTACCGATAAGTATTAATATCTATAATCAAAATATTAAAAATCTTCAAAACTGAACTAATTTTAAGTGAAATTTAACTTAAATCGTTCTCAATAATGTCTGATGTCTATCTACTTATCTATTTTGTAGTAGGTTTTCTTGAAAAGTATGCTAAAAGGAAGACAGTAGCAAAAAAGAAATTCAAATTCAGAAAATTGTTGTACCGAACTAAAGTACTCAAAGAACCTTTAACTTTTACAAAACTGTTAACGAACGATACATAATTTTGGTTGGGTTAATAGATTGGCGTAAAAATGTTACATTTTCTTCCACTATGTGCCTTGTTGTCTCTAACAAATGCTTGCTAACATTAGAAACACAACTAGGAATTACAAAGAGTGAAAGTATTTCTAAAATACTCATTGGCGTAAGATTTCTGGAGTCTGATTAATAGAATTACATCATAATTTAACTGATTTTAACTTTATTACTACGTTTTTTTCCTTATTTCGTACATCTAATACTTTTAAGAGTAAAATAATTACATATAAATAAATTACATGGTATTGTAGACTAATTCAGGATAATTAAGTAAGGAAGTCCTATCCATCTATTCTGGTAATTACTATTAAGAGTTAGTTCCTCACACCTCTAAAATAATGTACAAGGCAATCATCTAATTAAAAATACATCTGTCGTCTTATATTTAAAGATCATGGCATAACGTCGTATAAATCGTTATTCGAAAACTCAAAAGTTAAGTAATCCTATCTGGCAGAAAAAATTGCCTCGAAACCTATCCATAAACTCTCTAAACTCTTCTTCAAAATTGCGAGGGCTTATGGTGTGGAGAGTTTCTGTGGCCCACCTATGCGAGTTATGGAATCCTAGAGGATTTGATCCCGACCGCTTTTCAGTCCCGAAATTTTCGAGATTAAGTTTTCGGGATACCGACATTTTCAGGAATGACATCATTTTAAAAAAGTTGCGAGAGACTTTTCTTAATTTTCAAAGTGTATTTGCTTAGTTTGTTACATAAAGGTTTTTTCAATGTATGTAAGTTTAAAGATATATCACTGATTCTTGAAAAAGAATAACTCTAAGATAAAGACTTAGTGATTTTAAGTCTGGTTCGTCTGAATGTAAGTCTAGTTAGTTAAAGTTACAATATTAGAGTAAAATACGTTAATGTTTGTCTAAATTTTGAATTTAGACAAACATCGACAATTTTGTCGATTAAAGACTTGATTTTCGTAAGATTTTCGTAAGATTTTTTTTTTTATTTATAACCCTCAATGCCGAAATAAACCTGTGATCCCCGAAATTTACTAAATATAATCCCAAAATCCCGGGATTAGAAATAAGGGCCGGGATCGAATTCCTACTCCTCTTCGAGTAAAATATGACTCAGCTGTCATACTTTTGAGTAATGGTGGAGACCTTTTTCTAATTTGGTAAGGCGCCATCTGCAGAAAATTAAACAACGTTCTTCTTGTGGATGTAAATGTTGCATTTTTAATGTCTTCCAGATGGTAGTTTTTAGGACAATTGTCAATTAACTCTTACTATGAGTGCTTAAACTATTATCTTCATCACAAACATCCAACACTTGCCTGCCACCACTGACGAACACTTCTCTTCTAGATCCATATTCTTGATTTCTGCCACCTAAACCCTGATTCGTTGTTGCACACTTGGAAATCTTTTAGCTATTCAAGGACAGCCTCTACCGAATTCCCATTGCACTATTCACAAGTGAAATTGATATATGGATAATCCTCATTCTCATTCGTATATTGAAAAGGCATTATGATGACTTCGAACATTAAACCACTACCAAACTTTCAACCAAATGATAAATTACACAAATTGACATATTCATCTATCTGACTTTGTTTTTCAATGTTTAAAATTCTAACAGAAGTACCAATGAGTACCAAAACTTTTTTTATAACTTTCATACTTTGTATCTTCTTTACTAAGGGTTGCCAGATATTTGATTAAAACTTTTTACTTAAAATTAAATGTTCTAGTACATGTTTCATTTTAACCACTTAAAACGTGGACACCCTTTATATTAAATCCCTCTTTAAATCTATTTCTGACGATTCAGCCTTTGAGCGGCACCTCCAAATATTAAAACTTATATTTTGTTTACTCAATTTCAGGAAAGATCTTTGAGATATTTAGAGAATCTACCGAATACCATTGATCTCGGTGGAGGGTTAACAATAAAGCAGATCGACGGGAATAGAACATCTCGACAGCATGCCTCAGTTATTTTGCCAGACGAACCGAAAGCTAGGGAAGAAGCACTGGATAAAGCATTATTGGAAAGATTCACCGATTATATGAGTTCTCACAGCTTTGAGTACAAAATGCCGGTTGATAGTTTCACTGATCTGGAAAAGTCAATAGAAGAAGGTAACTAATGAAAATATAAAGAGAGAAGATAACACTGCATCCTAAATGTGAGTGTATGTATATCAGAAGGGTTTGGTAGTATTTCATAAATCGTATTTGTCATATAGATTTCTGAATAATCGGTTTTAATTCGGAAATTGTTGATTATGTTTTAGTTGTCATTTTTTTTCAGAATATGTCATATCTGTTTTAGAATCGCAGAATATTTTCAGCAGAAAGAAATTAAATATTACCTATGTTTCTGTATATATACTTACATTGTTGCTGATGTGATTATTGATTACCCCACAATGTTTTTTATAACAGTTGATAACTGTCAGATACTAATGAAATACAATTCATACTCTCTTAAAAACAAGATGATGTTTTCGACATATTTCTGAATCAAATTTACGAAAAAATTAATAAAAACAACGATTTTTGAAATTAAATCGGCCATTTCTGAAATAAATATGGAAAATTTGTATTTGTTTGACCCACGGATGTACACACAAGGAATTTTTCATAAAGTAACATGTTTTTATAGAAAAAAAAACATAAAACTGTACTAATGCTACAAATTTAAATGTTCAGTATTCATTCATTCAATGTCCCATGGAAATTTATTAATATGTTCTACAATATACATGTAATAAGTGAGTGTATAATTTCTAAGCAGAATTTCCATACTCTACTCTTTTCAAAAAATAATTCCATGTATTTTGCTTAAAATAATCCCAGGTATTTCCACTAGGTGTTAAATGTTTAGTACTAAGAAAATTAGTTAATGCCCTATTATGCTGTGAGGAAAATTTGCCATATCTTAGATAAAAAAAAAAAACAAGTAAAATCATTTTTCAATTAATTAATAGATAAAATAATTGTACCAATTTTTACTTTAAAAATTATTAAATCCTTTTTTTGATATGTACAAATGTACCTATTCACACCAATTATACACAAATTAACACATTTTTATTAAATCTGCAGAAATATGTTTTCAAATTTCAAGCTGTCATGGTTTTAAGATTACTTGGTACATAACACTCGCGAGAGCAATTTTTAACATTTTCCGTGTCGCTTAATCATAATGACAACATAATTTTACTATCACCGTATTACATACGGGGTCTGTTCAGAAAATAACCAAACTTTTTGAATTATGCGCTAATGGAGATATTTAGTGATATGCGGTTGGCAGCATTGTGTTGCGTATAATATCTGTAACCACATGATCTTGGATTATTAATAGGTAAGATTTTGCATGCAATGCAATGCTGCGAATAGTTTTTACGATTTGAAAGTGGTCGTCAGCAAACTCAAGATGATCCTCTAGGAAGGCCTTCGACTTCAATTGATGACTCTCACGTTCAGAAAGTCAAGGATATGTTGCGTGCAAATTGACTGTCAGAGAAATTACAGAAGAGGTTAGTGTCTCAATTGAATAATATCATGAAATTTTTACTGAAATTTTGAACATGCATCGAGTTTCGAGTTGCAGCAAAATTTGTTTAATGACCGAACATCAGAAAGAAAATCGTTCTTGAAAAATCCAATGACAATGAGAGGATCACAACGGGATGCGAAATCTGGATTTACGACTACGATATTGAGACAAAAGTTCAATCATCACAATGGATTGGCAAAGGATCTCCACTCCCCAAGAAGGCACGTCAGTTTCTATCCAATGTTAAAGTGATGCTCACTATTTTTTTCGACTTTAATGGAATTGTGCATATTGAATTCTTGCCTCAAGGTGAAACAGTGAACCGTGTGTACTATCAAAGAGTTTTACAACGGTTACGTGAAAAAATCAGCAAAAAGAGACCAGAGTTGTGGCAAGACAACTCATGGTTCCTGCCATAATAATGCGCTCGCACACTCAGCTTTTGCAATTTGTGCCAAAAATCAGATTACTGTCCTCCCTCACCTTCCTGACTCGCCAAACCTAGCTCCTTGTGATTTTTTCTTATTTCCGAAATTAAAATCAGTACTGAAAGGACGCTGTTTTCAGATTATTGATGACATCAAAGCAATTTCGTCACAGACTTAAAAAACCATTGCAAAGCTATCCAGGACTGCTTCCCGAAATGGAAACAGCAATGGGAAAAGTGTGTGAATAGGGAAGGGGAGTACTTTGAAGGAGACAAGGACCAATAATGTATAAAATTAATAGTAAAGTTTAAAAAAATAAAATTCGGTTATTTTCTGAACAGACCTCGTACAATACATTACAGGCTAAACAGTGATAGGAAAAGAAGTAGTATGGGGTCACCTATCCGTCCCGAATGTAAAAGAATCGTTGAATATTTTTCCGTAATATACTCAATTTTTATTTTTTTAGGAATATTACGAGTACTAAAGTTAGATATTTCTAATGGAATACTCTGAATATTTTGGGCGCATTGATTTTTTTTTATTACCTCTCCATTATGTATGTTATATCTACATACCTAGAATACTGTATGATTTTTATAAAAATTTTGAGCTGATTGTGAGATTGCAAAAATTTTACAGATTTGTCCTCTACGAACCAAGACTATTTCTTCTTTGTGATGCACGGTTTCAATTTATTTATTTATAGTGGTTTTATGACTTTCCTGTCCGTGCTGATATTTAAGGTATAATGGTTTTTCGAGTTACTATGCCGTGGCCTGTGTATGTGATGGGGACAATTACAAAATTATATTGCACTTCCTTAGTCTCAGCTAGGAATCTCTTACCTGAGCTTGTTGTTCTCGGGCTAGGCTGTGCGAGGGAACCCATTATCAGGACCTCTAGGCCCGCCCTATTGTTCATTTCGATTCTTGTTGATTCTAAATCCGCTACAGACAGAATCCCTCCTCAGACAATGGTGATCTGAAACGTTCCGTAGCGGCCTATGTAACTGGTTCATGTGATGCTTCCAAACATTCCGCCATTCTGAGTTCAGTTACGGCAAATCATTTGCAGAGTTTGTCGGCAATCTATGGCCTACTGTAATTTGTTTTAGCAACGTTGTCTGGAAAATCTCTTTAGGGATTAAATCTGACTACGTAACCTTAATCTGAATCACTTAAATCTTCAATACCTCAAAGTATGTATATTAATTTATGGTGTAGAATATTTTTCTATACAGACTTTAAGTTTTAAATTCATATTTCAGTTCAAATACCTAGAAAGCTTTGGAAATGGTTGAATATGAAAAATTAACCAATTTGTAACCCTGGTTTGGGCGGAATCTAATTAGTTTTACATTTCTAGACCCATAAGCAGACTATTATTTGCGAATTGGAATCACCAGTGTCAATAATTGAATTTTCATCTTTCTAATAAGTTCCCGACATTTAAGTTCAAACAAAAACTTAAAATTTTATGTATAAAAACAAATTATTCTACATTATAAATTAAAGCTATCTAGGACATATTTTTAATAAAACAAATTCCTAAAGTGATTTACTAAAAATTTCTTCTAAGTAAAATATTGTAGATCATGGACTGCCAAATATATCATCTAATTGGTTCAATCAGTACATCTGGAACGCCACTATTTATATAAAGATCATTAGAATTGTACATTCTAAAAATAATAGGGATCTGTCCTGGTTCTTAATGGACGACACAGTTTTATATTTAAAATTAAAAAACTGACAACTACTTCCAATGTAACCTAAAGTCAGTAATATTTTTATTGGATATATCGGAAATCCCCGTATGAAACTTCTCATACGTGTATTTTTATTTGGACTCCTTTCCGTGATACACTCTCTTAATTATTTTTTTTTTGTGCAGGTGTATCACTTTTTTATGCTATTAAATTTCATTTAATTATTTTTGTTATCCATCAATTTTAGGAAGAAAAAAGAAAGGCGGCGGCGGAGGAAATCGCATGAGATCATTACTAATGTTACTTCAACTCAAAGCTGCTATCCTCGCAGCCATTGCTTTGAAGTTCATTGGATTAGTGGCCTTCAAAGCTCTACTACTGGCGAAAATTGCGCTAACAATAGCGAGCATGGTCGCTCTGAAGAAACTAGTGGAGCAAAAATCACACACGTCTACATATGAGGTGTATGCACACCCTCACTATGACGAGCATTTTTTCGACAGATCTTTGCGCCAGGAATTACCTTATAGGGGTCAGATAGGAGCAGCGAGGAGCGGCAACTAAATTCTTAAATTGTAATTAGAGACCAGCTTCGTTAGATGATTTTCATCATTGAATTGCATTGGTAACAGCTCGTATACTTACCTTGAAACGTTTTTACCTTGAACTGCAATCCCTTCAAAATTTCAATATTTTTTATATAAATTATTGATGATGATAAGTTGGTTAATCCTTAAGGATTACAGAGTTACTGGCGTTATTATAGGAGTTACAAGGATATGTTTTGAATGTCATGGCCATATTTCTCTTAAATCGTTAAAAGTAAACCATTTATGTCATTTCCCTGATAAGTTTCACTACCAGATAAATTGAAATAACAAATAAGCATATAAGGAACCAGACAGCTCGTCTGTACCAAATTGCATTAAAATGTCTAAAAAGAAGTAAGAAAGAAAAATGGGATCAGAAATATTTTTTGAAGTACGTAACATTTGAAGAACTTGATCTAAATCTTTTTATTTTCGATTAAGGAATTTGTAATTGAAATATAGTCCATTCGCTTCCGGAATCCCTGTATATCTAATGAAGATGGTTCTACACCAGTATAATATAATATAAAAGTTACTTCATTTAAAAAATGTCAATTTGACAGATATCTCGAGATTTTCAATTGTTTTTTCATTTAACCAAATGTATTTCCAAAGAAAAGCTAAATTAACAATAACTTTTATATATAATGGATATTTAAGCTTATAAAGACCTCTGTCTTGTATTATTTCCTTTTTATTGGAAAAATCAGAATCATCATAACACATCTGAAATTTTCGCAATTTTTTTTTTAATACAAATTTTAATAAAAGTAATATTCATATTAACAACAAATAATTTACAATTCGAAATTATTCTTTCAATTAAAAAAATGGGCACCTTTTTGTATAAATAGTTTTCCGAAAATTAATAATAAAGGATATTATAGGGATATTTTCTGCAATGTCTGTAAAATCTTTCGAGATATCTTAATCATATTGTAAATTTGCACATAAAAACAATAGTGTCTAATGACTGGCATTATTTCATTCTTTCTTATTTTTAACCAATTTTTAATTTTTGAGAATTATTTTTCTCTAGATCATTATAAAAAGAAATGGTACTATTGTTGTTGTTCAAATGGAACACTATGTATATTTATGCATTTTTTAATTCTACGGCAAATTCTAGATTATTTTGAAGTTATTATTAATCATTCAATCAATAATTTCCAATTTTCACAAGGACTATTAACTTTGGATAGGTAACTATAGTATCATTTTAAAATAAATTTATTTTTGCATCCATTAATGTAATGATATACAGGGTGTACCACTTGAAATATTTGAGTAAATTCAACTTTAACATCACAATATTGGTCACACGTTCTTAAACACTCTGTATAAATTTTTGCAAATTTGACATAAACTTGTTGAATTCCATTGCTTTTAAATTATCCGTGCCAAATTTCATTAATAAATAAAGCTAAATATCGAAGTTATTCTGTATTAAAAAATCACTTGCTTCCCTCAATTTTTTTCGAAAATTGATAATAACATGAAAACTGTCATATTTTGGCCTATAGCACCTTATCTGAAATTAGTCTAGATTTTACCGTAGAATTAAAGAATGAAAAAATATGTTCCATTTGAAATAACAGAGTTAATGATGACTTCCGGTATAATCGGAAGTGCGAGAAAGTTGACACTATTTTCATTGAATAGATCTTTTTGATAAACCCCTATATACAAATTTTCATATTTCAATTTTGAATACTTTTTGAGATAATCCTACTGGGCCCTCTTCGTTATACAACCTGTATTTATACAAACTTTGACCAAAGGTTTGAACTTATGATTATGAACTATAAAATAACCTAAATAATTATTAACTATAGGTTTTAAAGAAAATCTCAATAAACATTCACATTTGTCATATTCTAAAATAAATTACATAAAAATAGGGAGCGCAGTTTAAGGGTTTATTTGATATTATTTATTTGGGACTTAGATAAGTAGGGATCTATCTATTTGTGTTTTTTTAGTTAGATATTTGGTCAAAACGAAGCGACCTAAGTAGTTTTTGTTAATTTTTTTACCTTAAAATATTCACCTGAATGATAAAAGACATTAAAAATATATTCATATAATACTCATACATATTATACATAGTTTTAAAATCCATATTTTTTACTAAGCTTCGAGCTAAAACTTAATTTTTCATTGTATATTATTCAGATTAAAGAGACAATCAGCTTTAATGCTTGTTTTAAAATTTGTTAATAAAAGATTTAATATGCTAACATAGAATATTAAAGAATTATGATTGTAAATGGCAATTAGACCTACCAATTTATTTGTTGTTACTGACCTAATAATTTACTGAACTGAACTAACTATTCATATGTACATATTATATACTTACTTATACATACATATTAGTTTATGATCATACATTATTTTGTGTTGATAATAATTGTTCTATGATAATTAAGTATTATTATATGTTTAAACTATTTATTGTTATATAAGTATATAGACATTGTTTCAAATTGAATGCGACGATGTTGTTACCCCGGAGACATAGAGATGATTAAATTAAAACTGAAAAGAATTTTTAATAATTCGCCAAAAGGTAGATTTATAAATTTAATTTTGCCTAACCATAAATATCTCACGCTGAGAAAGTAGATTCTAATTCTTCACGACACAATAATCATTATAATACATTATATAGTTCACATTTCGAAAAACTCTCCGTTTTTGTATCAAACCTTTTGTTGTAAATTTAACTTAAAAGTCAAATGTGATAGCTTTATGCTCAATAATTTTTAGTTATACAGCAGAAAATTAACACCTTTGTTGAAAAAGTACATTTTACAAATCAATTCAGGTTCACGAGAGATAGTATAATTAATTCACAAATTGGAATTTCGAAGATCTTCTGAATAGCCAACGATATTTGGAATTTCTTCAGAATATTTTCAACCACTTAGACAATACAGGGTGATTCACTTATTATGATTTAACCACCGATAGATCTCGTCAAAATAATGTCATTTTGAGTATACACTTTTTCTTCCAAAGGCCTCCTTTTAGAGACAAAAGCTTTATTTATTTTTTCTTAAACTATGAAAGCCATTTGTTTTATATTTAGTATGAAGTGTACGAATGAAAAGCTCTATCGATTTTACTTACTTTACTTTATTCGACGACTTACCATTACTTCTAAGGAGAAATATGTGGATTCAGATGGATGGCGCTCCGGCTCATTATGGTCTTCAAAATAAGCATTGGCTCGGGGCATCACGTCGTTGGATCGGGCGTATTTTCGATATGAGTCATGCAGAACCTGGTACCGATCCCATTGCTTGGCCGACACGATCGCCAGATCTAAATCCATGTATTATTTCGTTTGGGGATTTATTAAACAAAGTGTGTATAGTTCACCAACCTGTACTCTTGAAAGATTAAGAAGAATTGAAAAGATTGTGAAACTCTTAAACACAACCCCAATATAATTAGGAGAGGATTCAATGAATGGTAGATAAACAAAAAAGACACTGATAATTTGACTTTTAAAACAATTTGAGAACAAGTTTTGATAATGAAAGCAAAGAGTTTTTTGTGTTACAATGATTACTGTGAAGAATTATTTACTTTCTCAGTATGGTACCTATATTTCTCAATCGTTTAACTAATCCTTTTTGGGCAACTAGCTATAACAGTTACACACAAATTAAGTCAAATTTCTGTATTGTAATGAACAAAATCGAAAATAATATATCTTCATCACTCTGGATAACTTTTTCTTTTGAGATTTCTGTTATATCTTATTTGATCATAGATTTATTTGACGAAAGTAGAAACACGTTCTGAAATCTATGCGCTTCTGTTCCAACACGAAATGAAATCATGTTTTTCGGTAACTGCATTGTGTTAATAAAAAAACCTCTTTTGAGTCCAGTGATATTTGTTACTATTTAGTATTTAGTGACGTTTTGAATGGGAACAGTGAACACCATTGTCATTCTCCATAAGAATTTTTTATTCACACGATTGATGTTATATTGAACTTGTAAAGAAATAAATAAACTAATGGCTAAATAATAAATGTCTAATATGTATCTATTAATAAATTCGTGTTTAAAATTCAAATAGATAAGTGAAAATGGCACTTTTAATTTCTATTATAAATCTAAATTTGAAAGTGCATTTTTCAAAATACTTATTGGGGTCTGCTCTACGACAGACGACCATTTCGCAAGCCGTAAAGATTGAAGCTTTAAGACACGCCCACCCGGAGAAAATTCGAATGTCGTTAGAAACGTCAGATTAATTCTGTCGTAAAAATGACTATTTCGACATCTCTTTGGGATATTATTATACAACAAATACATTTGCGTTAGAATTTACAACTACCGCCGTCTCTGACCATTAACGAAATATTATTACGACATTATTGCATTCGGTAGATACATCGCTAGGTAATTTATTAGATAATTTATTCACTTAAGTACTTATTTATTTTATTTTTTTATTTGTTGCTAATAAAAATATATGTATATCCACCGCACATGATTTTGTAAAACTAATAAATGAAATAGTTATTAATAAATATATGCTAAACATTTAATTTAAATATAATAAATAATTAGGTACCTACTATTTCTATTTTATTTTTGAATAACTAATTGTGCTTTTCATATCCGTATACGAGGTGTTTCCTTTTTAAATATATTAACTTTAACAGTAACAGTTAATTTTATGACAATTCTAAAAGAAAAGTTTTTCGTTTGAAATTGATCACCGACTCAAAAATGTAATAAATTTTCAGAAAACCCGTAGGCTTAGAAATGTTATTTATAAAAGGGGCACTGATTAGCCATCTACCATAAACAAAAATTAATTGGACATCCTGTAGGTAGCGATTTACGACCTATATTCTCATGACCTTTCTTGTTCAAAATCAAGTCCTCTATCAACTGTTAAAGTTAGTACCTTTAAGGTTACAAAGCGCCAGAAGCTTCGCCAGCA